GATATTTGGGTCTATGAATGTTCTACAAGAAAAGATTGCAAAGACAGAAAAATAGTTGCAATGGGGATTCATTTAAGATGTCTCATAACTATGTTCGCCGTATTAGTCAAAACGCGATATACCAGTCCGTTTGTAACCCTTATCAATGGCTATCAAGAGTTCGATACCGTTACATAAATTGATCAATTTACACCGACATTTACCTACCGTTGCACATCTCCATAAACATTTACCTTGAGTTCGTTATACTGCGACCTGAATCACAACATGGTGCCAAATCAAAGGCTTTAAGTTTCTATCACAAGGACTGAACCCAAGTGGTTTTCAATCTCTCTCCTTTGAAAATCAATAATTTACTTGCATTATTACCTAAATTTTTATTATTCAACCCCATAATCAATGGTAAAGTATTTTTATTACCTAACATTGACTAGTTACCAATAATAGAACCTTGAAAGGAAACAAAAAAAAAACACACACACACACACAATAATTGAATCCTTTCACATCTGTCTAGTTGATCACAAAAATTTACATAGCATCTGCAAAAGCTAACACGAAAACCTTCTGATAGAAACACTTGCAGAAATAACTTGGTGAAAAGCAATTCATGTTTGGTAATCCATTACTTTGCTTCAACTATTACAATAAATTTAGATGGACAATGTTACTATTAAACCTCAATAATGACATGCTTAGCATATGATGTAGATAAATTTAAATGCAACATGGAAGATTTAATAAGCTCAAACAGAGATCTTGGTATGCATAAATGTAATTAAACAATAGTAGTAAAGTTTAAACTCAATAGTAATGCATTTTTTTTTCCCCAAGGCAAGCAAGACAACTTTTCATTGATTAAACGAAAAATTAGAGTCAGTCACGGTAACACTTTCCAGAGATCACTGGGAAAAACAGAATCCATTGATTAAACCAAAAATTACAGTCAGTCACGGCAACATTTTCCAGAGATCACTGGGAAAAACTGAAATGTCATAAACTTTCCTGTGCTAAGCAAACTGACATAACATAACCAATGGGCAACAACATTATTACTATCTCGACTCACCCAACAAAGATCAAGAAGATGATGCAATTGCAAGATAAAGTGAATATCCTCTTAAAGAACTGCAATGGAGCTTAAATGTCCTTTCAGCAAACCCATAACTCTACTATATTGTATCAAATGAAATAATACATTAACTGCTCAATGCCTCAACTAAAAAATCACACGACTAAGAACACTTCACTGCAACTAACACCAGTTCGGCCTGTTATGGAATCAACTCAAGCCATTTTAGTTACAACTCTACTTCAATCAACTGCACATTCATTCCTCGTTTCAAAAAATTACTTCCAAACTCTCAAAATGACGTATACAAACACATTGTAGACACCTTGATACATATCACATCAATTCCAAAAAGGCCAAATGTTAAATGTACATCTAAATCTCGTAATTATTTAAAGAGAAGCAACAAATATAATTAAACAACAGAATTGCTGGAAAACTAGACATGGCCCGAGAGCTTGAAGTGCATGTGTTTCGCCTCTATGTTTGGAGATGGGGCAAATATAGATAATTATGGTTGAAAAAAAAAAATTTGATTAGTATTAATAAAATAATATCAATTTTGGTATCATATCATCTGATACGGGATAATATGATACCAAAACTAACGCAAGACGGGTAGAGCCGACCCTTATACCAAATTGATGCAGGAAAGGTGAGGGAATGAGTGAGAGAAGAAATATATGAATAATAAGCTCAATAATTAATCAATAATCATGAAAAGGTTATTTCTCAATGTATCACACTCCCCTGCCCGCCTCCCCTCCACCCAACAAAAAAAAAAACAAAAAACAGCACGCACACGCACGTATACGCCTACATAAGAATACCTAATAAAAGTACCAAATATAAAAAGCCTAAATAAATAAGGTAAAATATAAGAACAAAATAAATTAAAATTCCTCCTCTACGTCTACATCTATGCCTACATAAGTGCGTAGACCACGCAACTCATCATCTCCATCAATTTGATTAAGGTTCTTCCTTAATGGTGATTTCTTCCCCTTATTTCTTCTTCTTTTCTCCCTCATTTGACATCAATTTTGGTATCGAACCAGCCCTACCCCACTGCATCAAAAACGTAAGTATAAATTCAATAGTGAAGTGTTCTTAGAGGCATTATGTAACTTCTTATTTAGTTTCTGGGAGAAATTAGCAGAAGAGATTATTAAACCATCATTATCTAATTTTCCTTTTAGTTCTCTAATGGGATAATCCTACATTATATGATCCCACAAACAAACCATCATACTATAAGAACATGACACGATCAAACTGCCTGTGGGACAAAACTTCACTGCCTCACCATGTCAGGCACTAGAATAGAGGAAGAAGGAGAGAGAAGCAAAAGATGAGTGCAATGAGAGTTCATGAAGCAGTGACAACTAACAGAGAAAGCTAAAGAGGGAGCAAAGGGTGGCCATCACATAAGTAATGGATATGATCTTTGCATCTGCATATAATATTACGACACAATAACTAAGGATTATATTGTCATTCCACACCTATCAATTAATCATTTGACTTCCAAGAAGTATTTTTGGAGAGCTTCAAAGGACAAGACTTCAAAAAATCTGCTTGTTCACCCCACCAAATATTCATATTTTCCTGAAAAGGGTTGTTAGTGCTTAAAAGTCCTTTTACAGACTCTTGAAAGCTCCCCCCTAATTTGGTTCCCATATTTGCTAATCAATCCAATAATACAACCACCTCGTGGTGATCCTGAATCCAACTGCCATCAACTAGAACATACAACTCTATCAACAACAATTTCACAAAGTTGTAGATAGCCACGTCAGTGGGCCCCACCCCTCATTATCTACCTCTGTAATCTGCTTTTTACTATCTATCTATGGATATTGAGGTAAATAATGAGGGGCGGGCCCACTGACGTGGCTATCTACTCCGCCCACCCACACCAGCTCCCTCTCTCTCTACTTTACTCCCATATTATCCACTCACTCATGCATACCGGATGGCCTAAGATAGCACCTTGCTACATGCTCTCTGCTACTACACCAAACCTTGTAAAACAGTCTCACCCTAAACTACCACTCCTATCCATTTGTCACCACAACGCATCCTCCTCAAACCATCAACAAAGACACTTAAGTAAGAAAAATTAAAAAATCAGTAGCATCCAACTCCCGGTGCACTAGCCACTCTATTCTTGGTGAATCTATCATCATCTGCTATAGATGTTTTCTTTTTTATAAGTACCTGCAATAGATGTTCTCTTTACATGATTTTTTTTTTTTTTTTTTTTTTTTTTTTGATAAGTTAGATTTCATTAAAGACGCCCAAAAGGGGAGCGCTCCCAAAGACAACAGACGTCGAACATGACGAAACTATAACTTTAAGCCAACGCCGAGGGAATACCTACACCAAGACCATAAGAAAATCCAGTCTTTGGCCATCCCCAAGATAATAGTTTTTCAAAACTTAGTTTCTTCAATTGCTTACAATGTCTTATTGGTGATCCAAAATAAATATCAACAAAATCAGATGGTTTTCTTCAATTGCTTACAATGTCTTATTGGTGATCCAAATTAACTATCAACAAAATCAATAAACTTTTGGATGACATATATTTCATGTCTTACTATAGTATGTTCTTGGTGGTACAACTCCAACAGCAAAAATATCAAATGAGTTTTTGATGGCATATCAACCAAATCATGTGAATTTTTAATTAATATTATTTGTTGGCATATGTCCTAGAAGCTATGTTATGTTTCCTTATTAACTAGGAAGGTTCAAAAGGGAAAACTAGTTAAAAGGGAGAGTGATGCAGGGCATTTTAGTAGTTTGATAACTTGTAGGAGTCGAACAAATGGGTAGGCAAGCAAGCTAAATGAGAATTTCAAAAGGCATTTAATGGAATTTTATCAGCGAATTCCACATCCAGTTATGTAGATTTGACCATTCCCATAAAATTCGATCACAAATTTGTCTTTTCTAAAAACTAACTTATGGTTTGTATAATCAGATATTAATAACAGATGTGTCTTTTCAAGTAAGGAACTGACAAGGCTCCACGTACACTATCTTTAACATATGCAATTTTCAAGTTAACAGGGAATAAGGCTCCAAATCCAATGATTTCATCCAAGTACTTAGCCAGTATGCTGGGATGTAATTAATGATTATACATGAAACGAGTTGATTAGGGAGGAAAGTACCTTGCAATGATTTCTAACGATTGATTGACTAGCTTGCTCGCATGGTATTTTTTTCATTCCTCCTTCCTAACTTTAGGAATGAAAGACCATGCCAACAAGCTAGTCAACCACTCTTTAGAAATCATTGCAAGATTAGGGAGGAAAAAAGGAAAGAAGAATGATTTCTAGAGAACCTTAAATCGTCATTGGCAGCCAATGCGTGTAATCTCTAATCATTTAACAAGTAATAACAAACACAAGCTCAAACCAAAAAAAAAAAAAAATTGGGAAATGCAGTGATGAAAAGTAGATCAAAACTCCCATATATGCTTTGCACTATTGAATCTGTCAAAAAAATCCAGTTCATAACAATAAAGTGGTAAACCAGAAAAAGGTCCAATCATTGGTAACTTTTGGTCCCTCAAGACCTCAATCCAATTGTCTGTAGACTCCATAATTAATGTGTGTTGCAGTTCACTGAATAATATTCCATATCTGAATCAAATATTGGATATATAATATGCCAAATGTGTCTGTGTGTACGGATTCATATATAATTCAATCATCATCATAGATCACACACGGCGTAATTTTGTCAATTTTCAAATGAGTATCAAAGAAGAGAGTATAGCACCGAGAACTACATACTATAGGAGCATTCAATACTAAAAAGCAACTAGTGTAAGGTGTAATTATAATTCAAAAATACTCACTAGCATCTCACATGAATCCAAAGTTCAAGTTCTGTCAGAGCATTTGACACTATCTTCAATAAAACAGCAAGATTCAAAACAGATAAGAAAATACATTGGTGACAAATCAAAACACCATGAAAGCATGTCCAAGTAATGGGTTGCACACAGTGACAATATCCATACACAACTATTTATGATCTCTACAATCAATCTACATAAGTATAAATACAAATATAAAAATCCAACCTACACAAAATAAAAAGGACATACAAATCAAACAATACAACAGAATAGCAAAAAATAAAAAGTAAAAAAAGCCGAAACCTTACATACTCTGCGATCATTTTGAAGCTAAAAAAATCTCTGGCTTCTTAGCTTTACTGGGTGTGTTAGCATTCGAAGCAGCTGCAATGGCTGCTGCTGCCTTTGCAGCCTCTCTTGCTCTGTTATCGAGCTGAATCAAACTCCGTGTCGCCAAAATCCCCTGTGGAACCAAATCATGAGAAGCCCTAGCATACAAACACCGCACTGCCACTGACGCAGCGTCCTTAACATCCTCTGAATTGAGAGGAGCCAAGAGGCAGTGACCCAGAATTCTCAACGCCGGTTGCAGAAGCTCCCACGGAAGTGGAATCCTCGCCCCTCTCGGAACCGAATTCGATGAATTTCCATTCATCCCCAAATTCCCCATCTCCTCCACCACATCATCAATCTCAAGATCCCTAGTAGTACCTTCGGAAAAATAATCATTTCCAATCTCCTCTCCGTTTTTGTCGAATTCCGTCTTGCAGGGGCAATCCTGTCCGGCCCAATCGGCGGCGAAGCGACAGAAATCGAGTTTGGACCAACTGGGCATCTGAGAGATCTGCTTGTAGTAGCAATCTAGGGCTACACCAACAATGCAGGCTCGTTTGGTTGATTTCACGGCGATTTGGGGCTCGAGCGGAGCGGAGAGGACTCCGATCGAGGGCCGAGATTGGTTGTTCAGATTGGGATTGGGTTTGTTCCGAGGAGAGTGATACAGGGAGGGTTGAGAGAGATCCGGGATGTTGATGAGGATGGGTTTGCCGGCGCGAGATTTGGTTTCGGCCGCGTAGAGAGAGAGCAAGACGGCCTCGAATCCGGCCAGAGAAGGGGCGGCGGCGGAAGTGTCGGAGTGGATGCGAGAGAGGTAGAGGCCGGAGAGGAGGGGGAGGAAGGAAAGGACGACGAGGCGGAGATCAGGATCGGAGGACTGGAAGGTGTCGTAGAGCCAGTGGCACAGAGGGTCGTCGCCGGTGCCGGAGAGGGGCGAGGAAAGGGAGGCGGAGAGGGCGGAGTAGGCGGCGAGGGAGGAGAGTAGGGAGCGGGCGGGGCAGTCGGAGTCAGCGAGGGAGGAGAGAGGCGGAGATGAGGAGGTGGAGTGAGGAAGGATGGAGGAGAGGAGGTGGATACGAGAACGGGCTTTGGAGATGGATTCCCACCAGGATTGCATTGGATCGGTTTCGTGGTGGTGTTGGTGACCGCCGTTGCGGTGGTGGTGGTTGGAATTAGGGTTTTGGTTTGGGTCGGAGGAGGAGGTGGAGGAGGAAGGTGAACCGCCGGAGGTGTGGTTCAGGTGGAAATCCATTATGGTGCGTTGGGTGGGGTGTGTGGACTCCGGTGTCTCTGGAGAGAGAGAGAGAGAGAGAGAGAAGTGAACTAATAAGGTGAAAATATGGGTCGGGTCATTTATTGAAGGGCCCAACAATGAAACAAACAAAAATTTCTTAATTAAACTATAATCCTAAGTTCCTAGTTAATAAAAATACCTTTTTTAGTCACGTTGTTTTCATTTGGATAAAGTATATGGAAGAGATAAACTCTTCTTTCAATTATGTGATAAATTTGAAAAAACTGAATTTCAAATATTGAATTTTAAAATGGTAATTAAAAATATATAAAATTAATAATTGAATTGTTACTTAAGGGTTTCCTATTTTCTAAAACGAAACCGAATCAACTAAGAAAAAAATAAAAACCTGATCAAACTATAAAAATCAGTTAGTGTAATTTGGTCCAATTCAATTTACCAACAAAATTGATTTTTTGTGCACTCTTTTAAGGAAATTTGAGGGTTAGAACCATTAGGAGTTTGGTAACTTTGGTTAAGAGGAAAGGAATATTTTGAAGTTTCTATAATCATGTAATTTGATTTCTTGAGAAAGTTTATAAACTTATAGAATTCCCTTTTATGATAAGTTTCTTTTTTTTAAAATAAAAAAAATACATAATAAAAATTTTTATTTTTTATTCATTTGCTTCTCTATTAATTTATTTATTATTATTATTTTTTTATAATGTTAAGGTTATTTTGGACAAATTACATACGAATAGACTGTTCAAAGTTTATTATTTTAATCTTCAGCATCATCAGTGATATTCGATGCATGGTGTTCAACAACACTCCTAGCATTTTCTTTTCGACAATCTTGGTGACTAAATTTTATAAAATAACAAATTTGTTCTTCTCTTTGTATAAAATATAATATAATATATGATATGAGTGTATTACTGACTTATCTCCATGAACATAATCACGTTGGCAGGGATTGGAGGAAATAAAAAAGTGTATTAGTAACTTTTCCCTAGACAATGAACCAATTTAGGAGAGATCACAGTAATACATGCGTGCAAATCATTACTCAAACCTCAATATATGTTTATTATAATTTACTCAAGTACAACACGTTATATTTCTTCTGTCCTATATTAATTGTCAGCTACAAAAATTTTAACTCACAATTTTTGTGAGTCAAAATTACTAAAATAGACTTCTACTATAGAATATAGGTAATACATAAATATATTAAAAGAATATGACTAAAAATAATACCAAATGATTCAAAAATAAAAAGTGACAATGAGTTAAATTTTTTTAAATTGACAATTATTATGGGAGAAGTTAGTAATTAGTTAATTTCTAATCCAATCCATATTCCGATGTCGAGTTACACACTCGACCCGAATGTATCTGGGTCTATACAACCGGGCAGACAGAGTGACCGAAACATCGAACGGTCGAGTTGGATTCTTCTAATCCGCCAATTAGAAGATACAATGTGAACTCGGACAAACCAAACCAAAACCCAAACCACTTGCTACCAACCCTCTCTGTCACTCCCTCACACCGACGTCGGATTCTCCGCCCTTCTCTCCCACTATCTCTCTCTCTACATAGACATATATATATATATATATAATATACATACTCCTACAGCACACCTTCACCATTCTTCTCCTCCACCTCGTAGCCATCGCCACACTCACTACTCATGCTCCACCAACCTCAATAAATTCACACCCAAACCCAATCCCCAACTGTTCTCTCTCTCTCTCTCTCATCAATGGCGTCCACACCTCTCTCTCATTCCCTCTTTTCCCCCCACTCATCTCTCTCTAACAGAAGCCACATCGACACCGTCTCTCTTCCTTTGCATCGACCCACGATGCTGTCTTCTCGAAGTTCTGCTTCTATCTCCAGATCTCATCTTTCATTGACCCAGTCGAAGAACAAGAATCGATGTTGTTTCATTGCTAATTGTTCGAAAGAATATGTAAACGAAGAGGTTCCCATCGAAACCAGTAAGTAATTGCTTCTCAATTGTTTCTCCCTCCTTCAGAACTTTCTCTCTCTAATCTTTGAATTCAATGTTGCAGGGTATCCAGCATATCCCACTGTGATGGATATCAATCAGATTCGCGAGATTTTGCCTCACCGGTGAGTTATTCTTTTGTAAATTCAAGCTGATTTTCACAACATTTGGTGTAAAGTGTTCTTTGTGTGTGTATAAAAGTGAATTTTTAAAATCCAATTTGCAGGTTTTCTAGTTTAGTTTGGGTTGATTATCCATTAAGTTCAAGCTAATTTTCACAACATTTGGTGTAAAGTATTCTTTTTTATGCTTTAAGAGTGAATTTTGAAAACCCTTATGGCAGGTTTTCTCTTTTAGTTCAATGTTGGATTGATTATCCATTAAATTCAACCTAATTTTCATAACATTTGGTGTAAAGTATTCTTTTTTATGTTTACAAGTGTGAATTTTAAAAACCCATTTTGCAGGCTTTCTAGTTTTGTTCAATGTTGGATTGGTTATCCATTAAATTGAAGCTAATTTTCACAACATTTGGTGTAAAGTATTCTTTGTGTGTGGATGTGTTTGTTTTTATAAGAGTGAATTTTGAAACCCCATTTTTCAGGTTTTCTGGTTTAGTTCAATGTTGGATTTTTCCATTAAATTCAAGCTATTTTTCACAACATTTGGTATAAAGTATTCCTTTTTGTGTGTGTGTGTGTTTAAGTGTGAATTTTGAAAACTCGATTTCCAAGCTTTCTAGTTTAGTTCAATGTTGGATTGATTATCAGTGAGTTTATTTATTTTTTTAATGTATTTTTCAGCTTTCCGTTTCTTCTAGTGGATAGAGTGATTGAATACAATCCTGGAGTTTCTGCTGTTGCTATTAAGAATGTAACCATAAATGATAACTTCTTTCCTGGGCATTTTCCTGAGAGGCCTATTATGCCTGGTGTTCTCATGGTTGAGGTAAATGATACCTTTACTTAATTTTTGTGTCTTTTTTTCCTATTTATATTATTGTCTATAGTTAAAATCTACAAGTAAATGTCTGATTTAAGTCTTTAGATTGTCTTATTTTGCAATTCGATTAACAAATGATAATATGATGCTTCATTATATGAAAGATTGTTCTACCGAAAAAAAGTAATTAACATTATTTAGTCTTACAGTTATTTCGTAAAGTGCTTAAATCACTGACCTAGGGTTGGCTTTTCCCTACTGACTTAACTTTGAGACTGTTCAGAAATTTGAATATGAAAAGCTCTTGAAGTGTTTTCCTGTGACAATGACTATGTTTTTTTTAAGTAGAAGTTAGTTTGAAGTTGTTATTAACCCATATGCTATTTTAAAAGTAGCATCTTATATGACCAATGACCAAGTCTCTCACATTTGGGGATTTTGTGTTATCATTGATAACTGACCTTTAATCATGTTACATGCGCTACCTGGACTTTTGATGCTATATTTTTTTGTGTGAAATTTTGATAGATTTGTGAATTTTTAGTATTGTTTGTATCTCTTTCTTTGAGAAAATGTCTTGTGCCATTTGAAAAGTTTTTGCCGGTTTTTGACACTGCTTCAATCAAATGGCTGGAGAAGACTATAATGGCCGTGGAGCATGTATGGGACAGGGCTACTTTTTTAATTGTCTTCCTATCCTGGTGCTGCTTTACCAGAAAGGGATTCCAGCTTGTCCAATTCCCAAGCATATGATGGGTTCTTACATTGTCTCGGCCCTGGTCCCAAAATCTCCCTCTAAACCTGTCTCCCTACTGAGAGAAGAGGATTATGTATTTGTAAGAATTGTTCATGGGCCAAACTCAAATTAAGAGGTGGGCTCAGACTTGCAAGGAAAAAATGAAAACAAAATTACAGTCCAGAAGATAGTAGTAGATGGTCCCAGTGATGGTTGCCGGTTGACTATGGTAATGAATTAGAGATGATGTAGTACATTTTCTTATGGTAATTGTGGAATTATGGATTTCACCGATGCTGTTTGTGACATGTTCTGATGCGCAATCAACACATTACATGGTGATGTGTTCTCTGAGTGCATTAACTCGCATTTATAGGCCAAACGATGAAAGAACTGATTGCACTAGATTCAATAAAGATCGTTATCCTGAATTGAAACACAACAGAGTTCTCAGCTAGAAATACTATATTGAGGTTGGCAGGTTGAAAACTGCTGGCAGCTCAACAATAGCTTGAGTAAAACTATTCTCAACCATAAAGGTTACTTTGAACTCCTAGCTCACTGTCAAAGCTGTGTTGGACAGCATGTATTGACCTCATATCTAAGGCTATTCCTGTATATTTTAGATTTGGATATTCTCCCGTGACTCCGAAGCATAAATCTTTAGGAGTGGACATGCATTTTTACTAATGTTGGCGATTCATTTTCGCTTAATTTCTTAATGTATGGTAAGGCTTCCAATACAAGAGTATAAACAACATCCCATAAATAACATGCTTTTATTAGTATAATCTATGCACAGATATTCCTTCAATGTCCAGCTCAAAGATTTTGAACTAGTAAATAGATAGCCAATCATCCTGGACATTTCTAGGGTTAGCGAAATAACCATTTTATGAGGAGATGTAAGACTTCCATGTCAAATCATACCCCAACCACCTAAGAAGCACAGATAGAGATACGGGACACGGACACGGATACGACATGACACGACACCGACACAGTGACACAACAAATGGTAAAAAAATAAGATACGGACACTGTGAGACACAACTACTAATAAGTATATCCTTGTATATAAATGATCCTATATTCTAAGAGTAATATTATTTTTCATTAACCTAATGAAAAATTCACAAATCATAAATTTAATGAGCAAGAAAAATAATTAGTTTATCGTTTAGCGAACTACACAATTGATCTTGGGATAAACATTTGGGATTGGGAAGTTCTTTAATTCAACCTTTTGTTTGATTGGGTGCTATCTTATCACTAAAATAAAAGGTTTTAAGCAAGAGGACGATGGACAAAGCATGGTTGTTAAAATCCCGATTGTAGGGTCTTATGATCCTACGATCCCAAATTACTAAATTTATTCGGATTGCATAAAGAATCTCTTAGAAGCAGGATTGCCGTGAGATCGGAAGGATCAGAATTGGGATCGTAGAATCATGTAGGATCATACGATCCTACCGACCCTCCTAAATCATGTTGTTTTGTTCCTTTTTCTAGATTTATTCAGGCCTACAATTCCTTCTTGGCAAAGAAATTTGAAATTTTTAAGTATAAAGTCCAACACTTTAGCTTAATTGCATTTAAAAAGAACAAAAAGCAGAGACCCAACTTAAAAGGTAAACACGATCCAATTATGAACTTCAAAGGTGTGACTCAACTTCAAAATTTTCCTCTAGTTTGCTCTATTCTTCTTGATTTTTCTTTTTTCTTTCTTTTTCAAAACAAAAAGAGCTCAGTCTACCCTCTTGTTGTTTGCCTGTTCTGAACAAAAAAGAGAGAAACCTTGTTTTTTTCCCTCTGGTTTTTCTCTCTGTTTTGTTCTTTTTCTTAACCAAAAATTATTCTTTCCAACAAAATTGTTCTGATAATTAGGCAACTGAATAGTTATTTTCTCTCTATTTCTTTGTTCTTTTTTTTTTTTTTTTTCTATTTTTTTAGGCTTTGCCTTAATTGCTTGTGTGAAACTCTGCTTAATTGTTATGTTGACGTTCTTACATAGAGGGAATTAAGAAATCGGTTTCAATCGTTTTTTCATGTGTATAGTATGCTTAATATCTTTTAATGTGAATTGATTTTTGTTAGAATGTTGATGATATTGTGTTTAGATTTATTCTCTATTTATTTTAAAAGTAGCTTTAGTAGCTTTATTTAGAAAGTTAATTTATGTCATTTTTGCACTAGTTTTGTAGAAACTTACGCTCCTTGATCCAATCCTACAATCCTGGTCTTAAGGACTATCCACCCGATCGTACTATATTAACTTCTAGAAATGTTCAAATGAATCAATTATCATATTTTCCATTGACTAAAATTCTTATTATGTTTTGGTGATATCATTCGTTATACATGATTTGTTTTCTACTATGCATTTTATATTTGTTTTTATGCCAACTGTTGTTTACTTGCTATTTCATGGCACTGGGTGTGTCGTGTGTGTGCTACTTTGCCTAGTGTTCTTGATACCTGGATTGGGGTTTCTTGTACAAGGTTTTGTCATCTTATATTTTAGCCACATTTCTATCATTGCTGTGTATTTGTATATTTCATGGAAATGTCTTTTTTCGCTTTAGGGGAGAGTTTAGGATTGGTCAGTTTTAGACCAACTGATATATTAACCAAGTCTCTCTAAAGCTCAATTGTTTAGTTGGGCTTAGCTCCATATTTAAGTTGGAGTCAGAGAAGGACTTTGTAGTCTTCCCCCCTCCCCCACTTCATTTGGGATATTTGTATATGTTTTTCTCCTCATTATTTGTATTCTTGTATATTCTTTAGTCGTTACCCTTGGATGGCAGTTTCCCTATTATTATAAGCGGCTAAATTATAGAATTGAGAGTGTGAAGAAAATAAATTCATTGTATGTCCCCTTCTTCTTGAAAAACCATTATCCACACCTTGGGATGTACAACACTCAAAATCTTTATATAGAACTTGGTTATATTTGTATCTGTCCCTATTCAAATATTTCACATTGACATTGAGTGTGGTATCCATAAATGATGGGATTTGGGATGCCAGAGAATCGAAGGCTAAATTGGGAGATTCAGCCTGCTATGTAAATAGTAAATAAGCTCTCTATTCTGCAAATAGATGGTTCAGTTTATGTGATTCTGTCATGGGTATGGGCAACAATCACTGTTTTTGGTCCTGGTAAGTTGTTATAGGTGAAATGTAAGAATGATGAAGAAGCATGAGCCGAGTCCCCCTCGGTAGGAATAATTGAGGTATTAATCATCAGTAGAAATAATTGAGAAACTAATCTAGACAGTTGATTATTCTTTATTTCTTAATCTCTCTCTCTCTCTTCCCCTTGCACAGTAGTCATACATTTAATTTTTCTTTGAATTTCATATTCCATTTCTAGACTTATGGTTTGCCTCAACTCTCCTTTGGAGCAAAATTACAGGTTATTTTGTGTCTTCTTTGTTTTCTCAAATGAGCACTTCTATTTCTGCAATAAGTGAATTTATGAAATGCAATTTTTTTTATAAAATCTTGCAAACTTTATCTTTTGGTCTAGTTCTTGGATTCTGGATATGTATTGATGAATGTGGGTGGCTGTTGGATCCAGGCAATGGCACAGGTTGGTGGCATAGTCATGCTGCAGCCAGAGGTCGGAGGCTCTCGTGAAAATTTCTTCTTTGCTGGAATTGACAAAGTCAGATTCCGGAAACCGGTGATTGCAGGAGACACCCTGGTAATGAGAATGACACTTACAAAGCTGCAAAAACGCTTTGGAATAGCCAAGATGGAAGGGAAGGCATACGTTGGAGGAGAGGTGGTATGTGAGGGCGAGTTTTTAATGGCTATGGGTTGAATGATGATCTGTGCAACTTGTGTGGTTAAAATTTTTGCAGTTCCCTGTTGTTGTTTTTTCCTGATTTCCTTAATTTTCTTTCCAAGACAACCCCCAATTCCTCAATGTTTGAACCAGTGAGCATCTATTTATGGTAGACGGCATCTACATTTCTATTACAAATCGTATGATTTTTGGCACCTTTTGGTCGTGTTGATGAGTTAGAAGATGGTTCACATAATTTGTGAAAGCAGCTGCTGTGGTGAATAAACATTCAAGATTTCGAGGCTTAAATTGAACAAAATTCTCTCGTTGCTCATAAAGCTTCCCATTCAACAAAACCTTGTATACTTGTATTTTGACATAGAAGCACTAAAAATGACATTCTCGTATTGCCAATGCTGAGTGTCCAGAAAAGGCATTTAGTACTCTCTTGCCTTCCAAAGTAGATGGTCAAGTTCCCGTAAGGGCACGTGGGTGGGTGTGTGTGTGTTTTAGGTCCCCGTAAGGGCATGTAGGTGTGTGAGTGTGTTTTAGGTCGATGATTCAAGTTTCCGTGGGGTGTGTGTTCCTTGCCAACATTATAACCATGTTCTTTAATTTTTGAGTGATTTTGGAAATTTTAGTTCTGGTTATTTGCAGCTGAAAACCATTTGTAGATGAACTAAACCAGTTTCTTCATTGTCCTGACAATCAAATCATATTTCTGATTATCTTTCGACCCCATGTTCTATTCCCAGTTTTCCAGTGATACTAATTCATCCCTTGGAGCGTATGAAGAAATTGACGAGCTAGTAGAATACACAATCTTACAAAGAGGATCAGAGTCTCTAAGCTATTAGAAATAAATTCAGCCTTTTGAATTCCAATCCATTACTTTTTACATTCATACTCAAACCAGACCATACCAGTTTACAATCCCAAAGCTCCAAGGGGTGTCTTACCTTGCCCTGCCTCAAAGTAGAAAATTAGCATAGCCACCATGGCAAGCCTTGCATGCTTAATCTCAGCCAGCTTCAATCTTTCAAGCTTCTCGGTGTCCGGAATGTAAACGCCGTTCCGGATCGTGCCGGCGAACCCCAATGGGTCGAAGAATTTGCCGCCCGGGTAGCCTTGTTCGCCGGTTGCGTTAGCAAAGTTTTCCGCGGTTTTAGACCACGGCGTGGCCCACTCCACGGACTGCGATTCGGGGTTGAAGAAATCAACCCATCTCTTGCTCTCAACCCATCCCATTAGGAGGAGTTGGGTGCCGAGGAGAGTGCCGAAGGAGAAGGGTGCAATGGCACCCGGATCTGCACCGGCTTCGAACCATGGAATGCCGCTGTAGGCTTGGCCGACGAAGATTCCGACAACTGCAGCCATTGCCCATCTGCCATGGATCAGTTCAGCTTCTCTGTACCATTTCAGAAATGCAGGGTCCTTGCCTAGACCTAATGGATCGAACCCATAGTCACCTGGAAGCCTGCAGTTTAATCAATCAATTAATACATACATGTATAGAGAAATACTGGCCTTAAATAGAACGGAATGAGAATATAGGATTCACGTAGTTGATCCCAAAAAAATGGAAAAATTAGCTTGATTGTTGTTGTTTTTGAGAAATACTTACGAGCCATCGAGCCACTCGGGGTCAACGAAGTTGCCCCCACCTCTAACACCTGGGATCCAAGACTTCTTAGGAGCAGCGGCCACCACAACCAACCTCCTAGGAGCAACAGCAGCACTGCCAATTCTGGCTCCAATGGGTGCAGACAACAATGCTTGACTCTTCTTCCCACCAGACAAGAAGGGAGAGCCCAATCCATTTACTATTGCAGCAGATGTTGTAGCCATTTCTCTCTCCTCTATCTCTCTCTATATATATATATATTATATGTATATATATTTTCGGTGATGGTATACAAAGCTTCTCTTTCAAAAACTCTCTAAACCATATTTTTCTTATCCCTACGTGGGAAATGAGAAGAGAAGGGTGATCAAATGGAGAGCACTCTGAGGAGCCAGGTAGGATAAGTGAAATCTGCCAAGGAAATCTAGATATCTGATTGATAGATTTTGGACCAATGGGCTTGTGAGCTCCATCTGTATCTCTTGACATTGCCTCCAACCACGTGGTCCATTTTTTCACCTCTAGTTCCATACTTTCAATCTTTGTGGATTTCTTCTGTAACACACAGTAATTCATTCAATAGTGTGTGTCTTAGGATCAGAGTCCACCTATGTCGGGTTAGGATAGGAATGGTAATTTGAACAGTCCTATGGTTACCCGTCCCATTTTTTGCAGTTTTAGAAGATCGTTTTATTTATTTATTTGGACGGGGTAATTTAATGTAATAAAAATTCTCACGAGTTTGGTGCAGGGGTGGAATGGTGGAATGGGTTACCCTGCACCGTCCTGTCTCATTTAAATAAACAAATTACTTAAGTACACCCGTCAAAATCCGCGCCAATTATAGGTTAGGGTGGTGTAATGTGTTGATGCCTTCATTTCAAAACATTAAATTATGGTTCAACACAATTATCTCAATGTTCAAAGTAAAGGTGTCTCTATTTGTTTCAATGTAAAAATATTTTAATTTAGAGGCCACTATACAAAATAAATATATATATATAAACATAACAAATATAAAATACAAAAGAAATAGTAGAATAAAATTATTTAAATATGCAGGTTAAAAAGAGGTTTTTAAGAAGTAGAAATAGAAAAAAAGAAAGAAAAATGAGAGACCTTTAATAGAAAAAGTTAAGAATTTTAATTGAGAAAGAAAAAATTTCTTTTAAGGAAATTTAAAAATTTTGAAGAGTAAAATAAAAAGATAATTTTAGAAATTGCAAGAAAGGTTGCATAAAAATTTATATATATATATATAAAATATATATATAAATTTACTAACGTTACAGGTGGGCATCCCTGCCCTTCATTGGCTCCCTGCCTGGTTGAGGCTGTTGATATTCTGATTGTACACTTCGTTTAATTTGTAGATCTTTGACACATAAAATATTCGTTGCTTCCGAACATCGTATAAAATTGAAAAGATGCAGAGAAGATTAACACGGCTCCTTCGCATAAATGACACGCACAAATAGAAAAATGTCCAATTTTTTTTTTTTTTTTTTTTCTTTGACTTACGGAAAAAAGAAAGAGATTTGTTCATTTTTCCTAATTTCTTTTTTTTTTTTCCTCCACTACCAGCTCTCTGATGCAGCGGATTTGTGACAAACTACATTTTTCAGCCGAACCTGTTTGTTAGAAGTTTATTGTGTTTATGGCTTTCGTGTTTAGATAATTTAGGATGGAAAATAAAAGACAGATAAAGTGAAAAAAAAAAATAATAATAATAATCCTTGTCATATAAAAAATATGCAAGAAACACACTACTTTTAAATCTCTATATTTTAAAAATTTGTGTAAATTGTCATCTAGTCAACAATTTTGTCCATTTTTTTTTGTAAAATCCCAAAATACCCTTAAGGAAGTTTATGGTATTTGTTTTTTATAATAAATTAAAAAGGTAAAAAAACAAAACTAAATAAATAAATAATATAAATAAATTTGGGATTTTATAAAAATAAAATAAAATGCCCTAATTTTTTACTATTTATTATTATCATTTTTATTTTTTATTTATTGTTTTTATAAAAAATATTTTTTATCATTTATTTCTTTATTTTATTTTTACTATTTTATTTACTTTATTTTATTTTTTCTTAAAAGCATTTTAGGTATTTTTTTTTTTCAAATTAAAGAATTGTTCTTATTCACTCAATTTGAAAATGTAGAATTTTTTTAATAATAGGAGAGATTTGCACATTTTGTATATAGCGATTTTTATATTTTTATACTAATGACTGGTTTTTTAAAATGAAAAAGAGTGGATCTGGAGGTTCCTAAATGAATTGATTATTCGAAGAGAGAGAAAAAAAAACAAAAAACGAAAACAAAACAAACAATGTAAGAGAAGATAAAAAAGTTCATGGAGAGTAGAAGAAAAAGGAAAAAGAAACGTAAAAAGAAATTTATTGTGAAAGGAAGAAAAGAATTATCTAGGATTTGTGAAAAACAAGAAGAAAGAAAAAAGGAGGACGAAGAAGATAGGAAAAGCAAGAGAGAGATAGAGAGACTATCTATTAGAAGGAAGCTTGGTTGGTGGGAGAATAAGAGGGTCACAGATGATCGTGTAAGAATTCGAACCTTAAACTAAAACATAAGGATAAATATCTAATTATTATAATATAAAATTATTTTATAAAATAACAACTTTTAAGTAATTATTATGTAATTACCATCATATTGATGAAAGTTATTAAACAACTTTTAATATTTATATTTCAACTCAATATTGTTTCTAAAACTTTTCTAAAAAGTGTCGGACACATATGACACGTATACAAGGTGTGTTCGGATATTCAAGAATATATAAAATATTCTGACATGTTTTTTGGCGTGTACAACACGATTCGTTACCTTTTAAGCGGGTCCGTACTTTCTAATTTTTTACCACTTCAGGCCTGTTAATTGAAATATATCAATCCACATATTAGTACCCACTCTCCAATCCGAGTGGCTAATAATGCATGTAAGTATTATGGTATTGAGCTACTCTTTTATGCGGATCATTATTATGAGTAGCGCTTCTAGTCATTACATTTCGAAAAGGCAAAGATTTTTTTATAAAACCAATCATTTATTAAATGAGTCATTTTCCTTTGGTGAAATCCAATACATAAATTAAAAAACCTTCTTCCTCTTCAATTTTATTTTTTCTTCTTTTTTATTCTCTTTAAATAAATTTGCATTCTTTCTTCAATTAAATCTTAGTTTTTTTAATAGGTTATATACTTATGAAAAAAGAAAAAAAAAAAAAATTGAATAGGTTATTTTGACCATATATGCTTAAAATAGTCTTCTAAGATTAATCTTATATATAGAGGAAGAGCCCTAACTGCTCAATTAGAAACTTTCCCCTTCACCTTATTGATTACCCAAAAAGAACTATGAATGCTACCGGAAGGAAGGAGGAAATGCTTACTCCCGCGGGATCGAATCTTTTCAGGTAGAGTGACTAGGGGAGCATTATTCCAACAAACTCCATTTTAGTTAAGCATAAATAATTTTTGCAAATTTAATGTGATTTTAAAAAAGAAACATATTGTATAGCACTACCTGGATTGGTTCTGTTGCTATAATGAAACCATCATACCCAAATATTGATTGTGAGTTAATATTGTATTTTAAATACCCAATATTTAACCAACACAGCCATCGGTTTATTAGATATTTTATTATGCCCATGGCATATTCATTTTAGTTGATTTTTTTTAGAAATTAAGTACATTATGTCCCACCTGAAATTAAATCACGGCTCCGTCCCTATCAACAAGGACTCCGAATCATTCATTTGAAGTTCATCCCCAAAGTAGGTTGTAGCTTCTCAAACATGTTTATTTCACCAATCTTCTCTTCAAAACAGTGTCTACATCATTACGCCTTTCATTCAGGTCAAAACTTACTAACAATGAATTTCACAGCCTTAGGACCATTACAATTGTGATTATTGTTCATTGTAGCTTCAGTCGTGGACACACATCATCATCACCAACTCCTTCATTTTCTAACACTCAACATATGTCATCCCCTTTTTCATTTTGAGTAGTAAGAAGAAAAAAAAAAATTCACTTGTTGCAAAAGAGGGGGAGGAGGAGGAGGAGGAGGAAAAATTGGATACTCACACCTCTCGTGTCATTTTGATCCATTTCTTCATGAATAATTCTTTTTGGAGTATGTTTCACAATTCTTTTTCTCATTTCTTGGAAGGAGAGAAAATATTATTTAAGGGTGAATGCCTTGGATGCCAAAGGCTATGTAGCCTAGTGGCATGTCTTCAAGCTTTCGAGAAATTATTAAATAGTCTTGGACCACTAACACTTGATGGTTCAGTTCAATCCAGATTCTCTGATTGAAAAAACGTGAACATATCTACAAGAATGTATTGATATATAATAAAGAAAGATGAACAATAGTTTTGATTGAACTGGACCACCAAGTAATAGGTGGTCCAAAACCATCTCATAATTTCTCTAAACTTCTAGAGTGAGAGGTGGGGTTCAAGTTTTCAAAGGGGCAAATGGAGTGAGTAAAGAAAAATTAAGTAAATATGTACTCGTATGGAATGGATAGAAGGACCTGCCCTTCAATGCCAAAATCAATTCAACATGATACCTTGGTTTGTTGAGATAAACCTCCACAGATTCCTGAGAACAACAACTTTGTTGATTGACACTAGGTGAGGAATTCCTATACCAACATTCTTCTTTGGCATATATACTTTGGACCAAGCCAGCTATGGATTTCAAGTCAGATCAGTCCAAAGGAAGCACCTTAATTAAGATTTTGGCAATTCTTTTATTACTGATTTAAGGAGAATGAAGTGGTTGCTCCAGTATAACTGAATGCTTAGGAGTATGGAGGTAATTAGTTGCATCATGTCCGCATAGGATAAGAATTTTCTTGACCAATGAGCAATCCTTACTGTAACTCCATTAAGCATTTGTATTCAATGGCCTCGAGTCTGGTGGAGATCAAAGGAACACCTAGATGCCTTACGGTAAGCTTCCCTTTCCAAATACCAATAAATCAGTGACTCTTATCTTTCTTTCTTTTTTTTTCAAATCCACTCTTGAGAAACAGTGCTGAGTAAAGCTCAGAAAAATTTATCCAATATTGCAGCTTAATTTTAGGACCTGAACTGACTCAAAGTTCCCATGGAAAAAGAGGATTAAATCATCAGCAAAAGAGAGGTGGATTATTCTCATTTTCTTGCATTTGGAGTGATATTTGAAGGAGAGATTTTTAAGGTTAGTTTCTTGATGATGGAGGATAAGACTAACATAACAAGGGAAAATTAGAGTGGTGATAGAAGGCCACCTTGCCTCAGGCCTCTCACTCCTCTAAACCCCATGCCTGTAGTTCCCATTTAAGATATGGAAAATGATGGAGAGGTTATGCAAGCTTCTATCCAAAAATGAATGTTTTTGGGTAGCCAAATATATGGATAATGCATCAATTAAAAATTCCCAACCAACAGCAATTGCTCTTTTTAGATCATCTTCTAGGGTACATTGGTAGGTTTTGAAGCTTTGTGGTGGCCTAGGAATAGCTCTTGGGCTAATATGATTGAGTCACTGATTTGTCTCCTCTCTACCAAGAGTGTGCAGCTAATAATCAGTGAAAATGGAGAGAGTTGGGTTCAGTTTCTTAGCTAAAAGTTTATAATACATTTTTATATTTTGGGCAACAAGAAATTGGTTAATAATATGATAGGGTAGAATGGTTTGGTCTTGGTAACAAAGTGTCACTGAGTCTTGGTAACAAAGTGTCACGCCTCACTTATTTACTAGTAGGTTGTGCCACACATGCAACACGCGCACACTGAGAAGGACTCTGCGTGGAATCTGCATGACATTAGGAGAGTTATTCTAAAGTCCTCCACCCTTTTGTAGAGAATTGTTGAATGTTGGAGAGTGGTGGAGAATTCCAAAACATTGGAGAGTTGGTAGGAATTTATATGTTACAGAATATTCTGAAAGTGCAGAGAATTTTGTAAAACGCTAGATATTTAAGGGCAGATTTCTAGGGTTTGATCATATAAATAGGTGGTGTCCCTTTAACAATGAAATAGTCTTGGACAATAATCATTCTCAATTATTGGCCAAGGTTTGTGGGAAAATGAGGGATTCTAGCCATCAGCGGGTTCATCTTCGTTGGCTGGAAGAAAAGATTGTTGTATTTCAATATCAAAGGGGGTGGATATGAGTGGATGATTGAGTTTTTCTAATAAGATGATTATTACACCTCGTGACAAGAACAATGCTGAGAATTGCCATCTTTGAAAGAATATACTTGTTTTAGTTTTTTAATATGTAAAATATTAATATTTGTGTTTGGAAATACTAATATTTTTGTAATTTTCTTTTATCTATATAGCATTGCTATTTCTGTAAGGAAAAAAAAAAAAACAACGACAAAAAAATAATAATAATAATAATAATAAAACATTTACACCATCATTTGTAAAAAGACTTGGCTTAATTTTTCTATAAAAAAAA